TTGACCATGGGATGCCCACCCACAGTTGATGCCTATAGAAAATAACCCCTCAACCTAAGGCTCAGGGAACATTGTGGAATCGGGAGTAGAAAGATTATAAGAACCAGAGGAGCAGGAGGTCTGCTGCAAGATTCTGTCTTCAGGGTATGATGGGGAAGCTGTATTTGTAAATTCTCAAACGTAGACCAAAACAAGAGCTACACACTCACAACACAAGTTGACACTGCAGTGTAGATAAGGATCATCTCACAAGGCCCTAACCATATACACTTACAGGCAACACAAAATGGACTCCGCACACTGTATTCATGTATAAATATGTGTGCATGTGTACAACAATAATTAAAGAAGAGTTCATAAGTTTTACAGGGAGCACTAGAGATGGGAGGAGTTGAAGCAGGGAGAGAGGGGGTTAAGACAATTCAAATAAAGCTCTCATATATAAAATTCTCAAAGAAATTAAATATAAATTTTTAAAAAGAATGGTTTGGCCAAAAAGTCATGCATGGTATGTACTCACTTATATGTGGATATTAACTATAAAGTACAGGATAACCAAGCTACAATCCATAGACCTCAAAAAGGTAAGTAACGAGGAAGACATAGGGGAGGATGTTTATATCTCACTCAGAAGGGGAAGTAGAATAGACAGAGTTAGTAGTTGAAGAGGGGGAACAAGGTTGGAGAAGGAGTACAGACAAAAATAAGGGTGGAGATCAGACCTGGGGAGAGCAGAAGCAGGAGGACAGAAGGCCTGCAGAGAAAAGAGCCCAGCCTTGGCTGTAAAGTTCAGGGCAGAGGGCAGGGTATGCCAAACCATATCTGTAACAGGTAGAGACTGAGGGATGCTGGGAGAACCTGGACGCCAGGTCCACTTTGATATGTTAAGTAGGCACCTCAGCCATTTGTCACAGGTCTGAAAGCCAACATCCTAGCCTTTTGTTAATAACAAATGAATAAGGAGCAAAGTAATAATCTATGACTACATTGTATTGACATTGGCAGTGCCATTATTGGGGTCCCAAAAAGCTGGAATGTTGGCCAAGTCCAGGAAAAGCAGGCTGTTTCATTTTATCTCTAGGCTCTGTACAACCAGCTGGGGCTAGGGCCATGAAGGCTGCAGTCAGAACAGTTTTCAGTCTGTAACTGATTTGAAATCTGCTGGAACATATATATATATGTTCCAGCATATATATATATATATATATATATATATACTTACCTTTTTGAGGTCTATGGATTGTAGCTTGGTTATCCTGTACTTTATAGTTAATATCCACATATAAGTGAGTACATACCATGCATGACTTTTTGGCCAAACCATATAACATATATATATATATATATATATATATATATATATATATATATATATATGTTATATATGTTGGGGACAGGAGGTAAAGTTGAGTTAGGGAGAAAACATTTTTTTTATTTGAAACTTTTAGGCCCATGGTCTCAGTAGTTGGGGCGCGGTTAGTCCCAAAACTAGGGAAAGGAGAAGAGATCCCACCCTCAAGAACAGGCAGGCGGGAAACAGACTGTTGACTGACAATACTTATCTGTAGTCCCTTTGACCTGTAGTTCATTTGGCTGTGAGAAGTGGATCCAAGTCTTACGACTCCCTCGACTTCCTGAAGTTTACATGAAATTTTTAGTTTACAAAAAAAAAAAAAAAGTTTTAGTTATATTAGCATTGATCTGTTCTGAAATTCACACTGTTCAAAAAGCAGCTAACAGGTGTCTGTAAAACAGCTGGAGAAGACTCGCACCGTTGAGTCCTAGCAAAAGCTCTAGCTTTGGGTTAAAAAGCATGAGTATTGTTTTCTCAGTCCAGAGGGTTGGATGTGAAGATTGGACAGAGACGTTTTTAGCATGATGAGAATCACCTTTAATTCTATACTCAGCAGACAAGCAAAGGGAATTTAAAATCTTGAGCTTGCGACTGGACACTAAGCAGCCAGTGTTCCACCAGCTTATGAGAACTTCATCGATCAGTGCTAAAATTCTGAACTTCTGAAACCTTAGCATATAACCTGTAACAATAGCACAGAGGGAGGGTAAAGAAATCTGAAACTTTTCCCACTTTTCACATACTTATGATTACAGAACTTGCATTTACACACCTTAAATACATTTTAGACTCTCTGAACTTAAGATCTCACATCCTCAAACCTTTATACACCTTAGAACACTTCCTTAGACCTTTGGAACGTGTATAAACTTTAAGCTTTTTTCTTTCCATCTAATCACTTACCAGAGACAACAAGAAGTTATAACTGAGAATGTTCATTGTAAAGCAAGTTCTTAGGAACAGTAAAAGGTTACATTGGAACCTGTTATATTTTAATCTGAAGGCTGTTAGCAAGGCAGACCTGCCTGTCTTAATAACAGAGCTAGTAGATCTAGCAAAAGCAAGTCTTGATTTTCACATATGAAATGGACTACTAAGGTAGACTGCAGCCTTGGAGAAAGGAGCTGGTTGCTGCCAAGCTGACAAACCTATAGTGAGCCTAGCCATCAGTGCCATCAGAGATCTGAGAAGGATAAATTATAGCAAGAAGTGTAATCCAAATGGCCTCTGTAACAATTAAAATGACAGACCTACCAGTTACCTAGGCCACTTCATACGCTCCTGCGGTATTGATGGCTTCATTGGGGTGCACAGGCCAGGTGAATCTGAGAGGCCTTCCTGTGGAGCAGGAACCTGGGAGACTGACCTTGTTAGGCGAAGTGGAGCAATCAAGTCTCTACTGTCCTGCTTGTTCACAGTCTAGGCAGGGTCCTGACATCTGGTGAAGCATTGGAGCAGTTATGCCCAGTGGTTAGCATTACCACAATACAGGTGGAGTTATGGAGCCCATCTGTCTTTGGAGACCTTGCTAGGAGCTGGAGTCTCTGTTATAGTAAGGTTTTTCCGTTGAACAGTTTAAATGCCATATGCATTAGTCCTCTAATAAGTTTGAGGACCATAATCTATTAAGTATAGCTGAGCTAAACAAACTTTGCTTGTATTTAGTTACTTGTTTTGGGCTTAACCTTGAAAACCCATACAGGAGGCTAAATAAAGCTTTTCCCTCTAATTAATTGCAGGAATACTTAGCATGAATACAAGTATAGTTTTTGAATAAGGAATTTGATCTTTTGTGAGGTGACTAGTAACTTAACCTGTCTAAATTATCATTAACAGCTTACTCAGTAGCTTCCATAAGATCAGAACCTTAGGTTTAGCCCTGTTAGATCTGAGCCTTGAAAGTCATGTTTTTTGTTTGTTTGTTTGTTTGTTTTCTTTTGCTGTTTTTGTTTTTGTAGTGTTATTTTGTTTTGTTTTGAGATAGGATTTCTCTGTGCAACAGCCTTTGTTTGTTTGTTTGTTTGTTTGTTTGTTTGTTTGTTTTGGAAACAGGGTTTCTCTGTGTAACAGCCCTGGCTATCCTGAAACTCAATTTGTAGACCAGGGTGGCCTCGAACTCTCAGAAATCTGCCTTCCTCTGCCTGCCAAGTGCTGGCATTAAAGGCAAGCGGCACCACACCAGACTATAGATTCACTTTTTTTAAAAACTGTAATCCAGGAATGAGACAGGTATGAGGGTGCAATAAGGAATGATTACAAGTCAGCAAAATCAGAAGTGGGTAGAGACAGTCTTGACGTTTTAGTGGAGAGGAGAGTTCGGTGCTTGGGTTGATTTAGAGTGTCAAGAGAGGGCTGCAGGTGGAAGCACCTGCAGTGTGTGGGGGAGAAGGTGAGCTCTTGGACAGAAGAAGCTATAGCTGGTTCCTATGGCTTCAGGCCTAGGGGCGGGAATGGGCTGGGTGCCCGTAAGTAGAAAAACGGCCAAGGATGGCAGTGTTAATGACCTGCCCCCGCTGACTGGGTAAGCAGGGAGAAGCGGAGAGTTTTGCAGCAAGTTTATCAGAATGGAGGAAAAGCCAAAGATTGAGAAGGGGGGTGTTATCGTCCTGGAGAAGAGAAAACCGGGGGAGGGAGATATAGGTAGGAAGGAAAGCTGAAGCAGCATTACCTCACTCAGGAGGAGCTGGAGTCTACAGCTATCCAGAGAAGGGCTTTTTTGATCCAGCCCGGGCAGAGCTGGAATCCCACAGCCTAGAACGAGGGTCCCAACGAGGCCCATGCGTCCAGAGCCGCGTTGCGCAGGCGCCGTGCCCTTGGCATCCGGTAGGTCAGCCTGGCGGCGCCCATCACCAGCTGCCCGGAGGGGCGCAGGCTGAGGACCGAGTCCCATCTCTCAGGTCCCTCCCTACCCTGCTTTCCTGGCCTTGAATACCGGTTCAGCCTACCTCCACCCTCCAAGGGCTCCCTGACTTGTGCTGACCCCTGATCCTCATTCTGATTCTTCCACTGCCTTGTGAAGTGTCCTCGCCGCCATTGCTCGACACCTGGGGCCCAGATTCCTCTTCTCGTCTCTCTTCTGGGTTCCAGGACTGTAAGAGCCAGACAGGAAACCGGGGTCCCATCCTAGATCCTTCCGCACAGGAATTTACGATCACAGGGAAGGCAAGTGGGATTCCTGCTCCCATTTTAACCCCACTCCTCCTTTTCTGGCCACACCTGGGTCCCCATTGCCTCTGGGAAAGAAAAGGGGGCTAAAATTCAGGGCTACAATCTATGGACCTAGGCCAGCTGCAGAAGGTCTTTTACAGTTATTAACTGAGTCCTCACAGAGATGGATGATGGAGGCGTTTTCTGAATGTGACTAAACCACCACATTACAAGGCATAGAGGGATTCAATGGTGTTTCCAAAGGAACATTCCTGTAACCCATGAAGCATGTCTGTAGTCCTGTACTTCTCAGAGTCCAGTGTTATCCACTGGGGTAACGTGAAGGACGTTTGTGGCCCGCTGTGGCCAGTTTGGTACCTGGCTCAAGCAGTCAGCCTAGTCTCTGTGTCTCTGTTTGCAGCTCCGCCCAGCTCACAGCTATCACTGAGCCCTCCCATATCCAGCCCCGGATGAAATTGTCCCTTGTCACTTAAGAAGCATGTCATCCTTGTTCTTGAGGAGCACCAGGAGCCTGGTGAAAGAGCTGGGCAGGAAGGGTGAGCTGGTGCCTGTGGACAGCCTGCGCAGCTCACCGCGCCTGCGCCCCTTCTGCCTGGTGAGGAAGAAGCACAAGAGTTACCTCTGGCCGTGGGACACTTCCTTCATCCCCACAGACTTTACCCTCCTGGACATACTGGAGCCTGGCTGTCCTGACCTAGGTATCTTCTGGGAGGCTTCTGCAGAGTGAAGCGGGGCTCCCAAGGGAGGCAGATAAATGTGCTGAGAAAATGAACAGGCCTCTGTCCTGGTTCCCAAAGACCCCTAGTGAGGCTAGCAGGAACATGGCCCTCATGGCCGTGTCACATAGCCGTATGTATGAAAGAAAGTCTTCTTCTTCTTCTTCTTCTTCTTCTTCTTCTTCTTCTTCTTCTTCTTCTTCTTCTTCTTCTTCTTCTTCTTCTTCTTCTTCTTCTTCTTCTTTTCCTCTTCTTCTTCTTCCTCCTCCTCTTCCTCCTCTTCTCCTCCTCCTCTTTTTCTTCTTCTCCTCCTCCTCTTCTTCTTTTCCCCTGTGTTCCTCCTCCCTGTGAAACAATCATCATTTTTTAAATTAATTTTCTAAGTTAGCTTACAACATGCTGGGTTTCATTACACCATTTTCTTTTTAACAGCTTTTTTGTTTTTTTTTTTACATTTATTTACTTTGTGTGTGTGTGTGTGTGTGTGTGTGTGTGTGTGTGTGTGTGTTGTGTGGTGGACATATGTGTGCCACAGCGCTGATGTGCAGGTCAGAGGACAACTGGCAGGAGTAAGTTCTCTTCTTCCACCGTGTTGGGTCCCAAGGCTCAAACTCTGGTAGGTAGGCTTGTACAGCAAGTCTCCCTACCATTTCACACACACACACACACACACACACACACACACACACACACACACACATATTAATTTGTTTGTACTTCTGTACCTTCCCCCAGACCTTCTTCTCCTCTTGTAGGTACCCTTCCTCCCAGACAGTGCCCCCTTCTCCTTTCATGTCACAAAAATCCTCTTACTTCCACTCTTCCCTTCCTCCTTTAGATTTCTTCCTCTCTTTCTACTTTCATGCCATATACATACATACATACTACTACATACTCAATACACACTTACTTAAACAATTATTAAAGATTTATTTTCTGTGTGTGTGTGTTCACCTGTGTGTGTGTGTACACACGCTACGTGAGTGCAGATGCCTTCAGAGGCCAGAAGAGGCTATAGATGCCCCTGGAGCAACAAGTGGTTGTGAGGAGGCCAACATGGGTGCTGAGAACTGAATATGGTCTTCTGGAGGCAAACGCTCTCACTGCTAAGGCATCTCTCCAGCCCCGACAGTCAGTTTAATCCGCTCTAAAGGCTGCCCCGGATTCCAGGCTTCCTGTGCCAGAGACCACATTGCCAAATCCACGTCTCACCCTCGAATCCCCCTCAGAGGAAGCTCTGATGCTCTTTCTTTCCCGCATATAGATGAGGAAATTGAGGCTTTGCTAGAGCTCAGTGGCTTCTCTATGCCACACACCATGTATAAAGTGGTGGCGGCCATTTTGAGACCTGAATGAGGCTAAAATGGCACCATGGGCCACCCTGCAACCTGTATCCTTCCCTTGCCAGGACCTTGTAGCTTGGGCTTCTGTCTCTGCAGATGTCAAGCACAGTGGGCCCATCTACGCCTGGGAGAAGATGACAGGAATGAGGACAGGGGCTGTGGGCCTGAGCCCTGGCCCGAAAGGCCAGGTAACTGGGAGCAGTGAGAGCTCCTGCCACTCTGCCGTGGCTGTGCAGACACTCTGGGTCACCCCTTGCACCTGGGAGATGCTGCTTGCGAAAAGGTAAGAGCCAGGGAAAGTTTGTGGGCAGCTGGACTCCCAGCTGGGCTCAATGGGCACAGGTCCTCCAGGGGTGGGGGAAAAGCCAAGATGCTGCCAGCCTGCCACATGAGATAGTAGACTAATGGAGCGAGACCAGCCCTGAGCCTGCCCGTGTGGAGGCTCAGAGGTTTCAGGCCAGAGGCATCCAGGGCCAGGAGAAGAAATGAAATAGAAGGATGAGGCTATAGGGAGAGGTGGGAACTACAGTAAACTGGAGACAGATGCCTCAAGCTGGTGGATATCCAATTGCTTCTGGGTTTCCCAGGTTAACAAGCTGAGCATTTTTCATCAACTTTAATATCATCTCCCAAATTTTAAATCTCATTTGGGCCTATGCTTGGATATCTGAAGCTTTGAAGAGGACTGTTCCAAGCTGTCTTCAGTTTCCCCTTTTTCAGCTGACACCCCCCCACACACACTCACTTTACACAAGCAATCCTCTCTTCCCCACCAAAGGCCAGCACATTGTTCCCCCCTAGCTGCTGACATTAGCACAAAGAGCACCAACCCAGGAGGGTCTCCGGACTCCCCAAATGGGCAGACACTCCTCCCGGCTCTGATCTTCTCTGGTTTCTTCACCCTCCAGGAAACTGAGGTCTCCTAGGCCCTCCTTCCTCCAGGAACTGCAGTGCCGGAAAGACAGGGAGAGCCTATACGTGGTGACCGAGGTGGTGGTGACCTTGCAAGATACCATACTTCAGAGCCTCAGCCAAATGCAAAGAGCTGGACAGCTAGCCCTCCCACAGCCGGGCCATGCTCAGGTGTGCAGTGTGCCGGAACGGGTGCACGGTGGGCAGTGGGGTTGGAATTATGAATAACATCAGCCTCAAGAAGGGACTCGACCTGGAATTCTCCCCACCATGAGGGGGAATGAAGTCCTTGGAAGATGCCTCAGCTCTTCCTGCACGTGTCTTGTTGAGGTTTCTCATGCCCATGCCCCATTGTCCCATCTTTCCTTCTGTTTTGAATCAGGCTCTTAGTTTATTGCCCACTCTGGACCCAAATGACCTCCTATCTCTACCTCCCAGGTAGGTGGTGGCACAGCTGTGGGGAGGCCTGAGCCCCTGCTCACTTATCGTAGGTCTGAAATAGCGCACAATCACCGCTCTTGTCTGAGTTTTTCCAGAGGATCCCTGCATGTGCTCTTCACAGGAGGAGGATCTGCACACTTGATTACAAACTTCTACCCTTAGGTCATGTACTTCAGCCTCCTGCATAGGAAGGCTGGCTTCACATGAGCATTCTAGGACTCTGGGGCTCCCTGCCTTCCACATGTTAGCTGCAGGCTCAGGTGGCTGATCCTCTTAGCATGCCCACAAATGCAGGTGCCCATAGGTAGGGACCACGATCAGGGAGAGCCTCCCTCCCATGATGGAGTGCTGCCTGTAGGCACTCAAAAGTCCCCATCCATGCATTCTGGTGATTCCAGGTGTGTCTGTTATGTCTGCTTCTTGATCGGAGGAAACCAGAATGCAAAGAACCACACCTGGGGTTCAAGTTGAAGTCTGATAATGTGTTTTTAACACATTTGGTCAAGTCAGTCAAACAGCAGCACAGCTTGCAAATACTAATCCTAATCATATGCATTCTAATCGCATGTTCCCATAGCAGAGTGACATTCTTCTCACCCTCCTCATGCAAGACTGCAGGCAGCTGGGACAAGGACAGTATCTTGCAATTAAACACTTATTGCTGATGTTGTGGTGGGGTCTGCTTAGATCTGGCCCAACTCAAACACCAGGTCAATGCAGAAAAAAACCCCAAAAGTTTATCATAATCAAGCCACTACTGACGGATCAGGAAAGCAGAACAGAGCTGAACTGCAACCTGGAGCCAGAATTTTGCCAAGCTTGAAAAATCACAAACACCTGTGTCAAGTTACAGTTTTCCCACCAATCAGGATTCAAGGATAGAGGATTTTCCTAGGAATATTTCTTTTGTGGTACTTTTATCCTGTTCTCATTGGTTGGTTTATTTGACTGTGGCAAGGTGGCTTGCCTAGAATTCAATATCTCAACTTGCCAACCAGAATGTCAATTACCCAGGCACATGTCTCTCTGTCAAGCAGGAAGTCAGCCACCCAGGAAAGTCTTGGGAACTTAAATTTTATTTGACCCCCTATTCAAAATGCAAGTTTTACTCAAAATGGCTTCAGTTTTGGTTCCTTCTGGCAATATCTTTTGGAGTCTTCTCTCTCTCTCTCTCTCTCTCTCTCTCTCTCTCTCTTTCCCTCTCTCCCTTCTCCTTCCCCCCCTTCAAGGCAGGGTTTCTTTGTGTAGCTTCAGCTGTCCTGGACTCACTTTGTAGACTAGGCTGGCCTCAAACTCACAGAGATCTGCCTGTCTCTGTGACATACTTTACTGAGCGTGTCATGAGACTGGGTTCTAGGATAAGGTAACCAGCCTTCTCAGATTGCCTAAAGTAGGGATTTCCCAGGACAATACACTTCCTGGTATCATCCAAAGTCCCAGGAACACCTAGACTCCAGTTCTCTACTGGCAAATTTAAAAAAATAATATTGACTCAAAAGAAGAAAAGTGTTTTCCCCTTACACAGAAGTCCAGACAGGAGCCAAAGAGCCACTGTGATAGGCCACAGTGTTCACAGATCTGGTCTTTCTATTTTTTCAGTCTGCCACCCCAGTATATGGTTTTTGCCTCATGTACCAACATGGCTATGGTATATACAGTTATCATATCCACCCCAGACAACAGAGCAGGGAAGAGGGAGCAAGAACCCCCACCCACCCACAAAAAAAAAAAAAAAAAGAAAGAAAAAAGAAAAATCTTATACACACTACTCTGTGTGTGTCCTGTCAGTCAAAACTTGGCTCTGTGGCTACATCTTGTTGCAAGTGGAAACCTATATCCAGAACAACCATGTTACATGGTAAAAATATAGGAGCTTTATTACTGTTGCTGGTAAGTAGCAGTTTCCTGAGGGATAGGCAGAAAAGGCTGTGACAATGGACAAACATCATGAAAGTCTAGCTTCCAGTGTCAGCTTCCTCCCATGCCTTTACCTCTCTAAGCCTTGGCTTCCATGTGGAAATGGGAGAAAGAGACTTAGTGGCCATGCGGAATATAGATAGGCTGGCCATGCCCCAGTGCCTGCATCTCGGCATTTCCTGGGCATCCCAAAGTGAGTAACACCTTTAATGGGCCAAAGCACACAAGTGTCTTTGTTGCGTGATTTCTTAGAACTTGACCAAGCCAGGTGCATTGTTTGAGTCCAGAATGCCTTAGGTTATTTTCTAGTAACACCTTTTATGCAAGCATAGTTTGTGTTCTTGATGGACATGGGGGTCTGTCTGGCTCCACTTCAGTAGCCAGCCCTCCAGAAATCTTGTCATCAAGACCCTAGTAGTTTTTCTATCTGCCCCTGAAACCCATTCCTGAAGTTCATAGAGACGGGAGGGCCAGTGTCTTCTCCCTTCCTCCCTCACAGGTCCAGGGACAGAGTCATGTGGGCAGAGAGAGGATGCTGAGCATCCCACAGGGCAGTGTACTGGCCTACAGGGTTCTGCAGTTGGTGGTGGAGAAAGATGGCTGGGGTAAGCCTATTCATCCTTGCTCCCTGCCCCACTCACCCCTTCCCAGCAGTCAGATACCAGAAAGCAATGAGAAGAAGAGAGAAGGAAGGTCCCACCTCGCCTGCCCCTTAACTGAGCAGTAAGCTGGTCAGGCTACCTAAAAAGACTAGACTTCTGTAGAAGGCTGCTAAGGTCAGGTTCTGGGAGGAGCTAAACCCAGCCTGTCCCTGCCTGCCCTGGAGTGGGGCTGAACTCTACCAGAGGAAGGGCCCTTGTTACCTAATTGGAATAAAGTCTCTCTGCATACCTGTAGTCAAGAAGTGTGTAGAGAGACACAGGGGACTTTGCTGGCCCCAACCATGTCCCAGACTAGAGACACATCTGGTGGCAACAGCTCTGGGCACTCACTCTGGCCACTGGAACTCTAGGCTTGGCTTTGGAGTGAGAGAAGGTATCAAATGGACACAGCTTCTCCATTTGTCCCCATGGAAGGGAAAAGCATGAGCTCAGAAGCCAACCATTGTTACCTGTGGCCCTGGCCACACTCCTGTAGCAGTCTGTTAGCAGAGCTTGGGCTACTTTAGGATGCCCTGTAGGGTAACCCTGCAGAGTCCTACCTCTGCTGGCCAGCATGGGAGATAGAACCTTCTTAACCAGATGTCCTGCTTTTTTGGGGTTTGTTTGTATTGTCCCTGCTCTGCAACATGCAGCTCTCCATTTCTTTCCTGAAAGCAAGGTCTGCAGGGACGCCAAGGGAGGTAAGTGACTACCCAAGGTAGGTGACTGCCCTGGCATGGTTCTGTGGTCCCCAGTGCTATGTGGTGATCCTAGGTCAAAAATGGGTGACTCTGCCTGAGAAGGTTAAGCAAGCTAGAACTGTCTGGAAGAACAAGTGACAGAATTGCCCTATTGGAGACTAATAACTATCCCAAGCCCTGCTTTCCTCGCCTATACACAGGAGGCTGATGCTTGTCTTTCCAGCTTAGAGGATGAGAGCTGAAGCCTCAGAGGCTGGGTATGAGCCAGCTGTAGGTCCCAGAATCAGAGAAGTCTAGCAGCCCTGGAAGAGAAAGCTAGGGCAGGCTTTGTTCTTCCTGTGGGAGCACTATGAAGGGGAAAGGGAAAATAGGAAGGTGGTTAGGTGAATGGTAGGAAGGCTGGTGAAGACCTGTAACTGTCTGGAGTGAGCAAGATGCCCTGCCAGTGTCTGGTGAAGATGCAGAGCAGGGAATGAGGTGAGTAGATATGGCATTGTGTGTGAGGGAGATGTATAAGGCCATTCCTGTGACACTGGATTTCCTGGTGAGGCTGGGAACACAAAGGACCCCTGAGCAGGTGACTGGCACAGAACTAAGTGGCTGCCCACCTGATCTGTACAGGTGGAGTCTCCAGCAAGGAACCAGAAGAGTGTAACTTCCTGGACTTGCAGGATCAAGCAGAGAGCCAGTTGCAGGACCTGGTCACACTGTCCTCAGAGCTACGGAACACACTGTTGGGTGCCTTCCAAGAGCTACTACAAGACCGCCAGGCACTCCAAGAGCTGGAGGACACGGTGATGGGCCCACTTGCCAGACTTAGCAAAGACCCCAGATCCAGCCAGATGACAGGAAAAAAAGCAAAATGGGCAGGAACGAATGTGGTGTCCACAGCTGGCAGGGCTTCACCTGGGCTTTCACACTCACTGCTGGGGACATGAGGCAGGTTGTGCATGGACTGGCATGTATTAGTGCCTTCTTCTGTATCAGGCCCTTGAAGCTCAGACCCCCACCAGCCCACCCAGTTAGGAGGAAGCTGGTTCAGCTAAGTTCAAGCCCAAACCCAGTCTCTTTACATAGTGGTAGGTACCCAGAGGCAGGAATGACTCCTTGAATGGACCCGGAAATTGAATGCAAGAACAAGGGTCTCTCCCTCATACTCTTTTCCTGCAGCTAGAACAAGCTCTGGACACTGGGTTGCTGGCACAGCTGGAGGGCCCCGGAGGCTTTGTCTTAAGTACTCTCCAAGACTCCAAAGGCAACTTGTCATGCTCGAGAGGCAGGGCTATGTTCTACCTTCTTGGAGCCCTAGCAGGTAAGAATGAGGGTCAGGGACTGAAAACAGATCCTGACGTGTGGACAAGAAGGGAGTGAGGGGCTATGGTTCAACAACCAAGGACTATGCATGGACTCAGCCTAGGCTCCCTACACATATGTAGACAATGGGTAGCTTAGGCAACATGTGGATCCCCTAGAAATGGGAAAGGGGGCTGTCTCTGATATATACTCTATTCCTCCTGGTGGGGCTGTCTCGCCAGGCCGTAGGGGATGAAGATGCGCTAAGTCCTAATGCAACTTGATGTGCTGGTCTGAGTTGGTAGGGGGGAGGCTCCCCTTATCTGAAGAATAAGGGAGGAGGGATAGATGGAAGTGGGAGGGAGGATGGGAATGGGAGGAGAGGAGGGAGGGCCTACAATTGGATTGTGAAGTGAATAGATAAACTTTAAAAAGAATATTCAATTGAAAAAAAAAAAAAAAGGGAGACCACATGCTGAAGCTTGGGCTGCTTGAGTGTGGTGCCTAGCTCTGCACTAACAGTATGAGTAGCCTTGGCCAAGTCTTCCCAGCCCCTGTTTAATCACTACTGCTCAAGGCCACCATCAGTGGAGCAGCTTGGGCGTGTGAAAACCTTTTCTATCTGAAATTCTTTGCCAGCCTCTGAGAGACTGTTCCAGGGTAATAGAGTTCTTACCTTTTAGAACCTTTTGGGCAACATGGCTCCAGAGGTGCCAAAACTAGTGGAGTTTCTCCTGATCTAAGGGTTCCTGAGGTACATGCCTTCCTCCATCAGAGTCCATGAAGGATACAGTACAGAATACCTGGAGCCTCCTCTACTTGGTAACCCTCCTCTCTTTATTTCTCACAGCACTAAATGGACCCCATCATTGCCTGTTGGCCCAGTCCATAGAGAGAGAAATCCTATCTGAGGAACTGCAGCTGGTGAGAGCCTCAAAGGAGGGGGTACTGGGGTTCAGGGAGATACAGGGAGAGATGTAGAAAGCAGATGAAGATGCTCTGTAGAAAGATCTGGTCTCCATTCCCTGAGAGTCTGTCTGCAGTTCTTTTGTGCAGCTCCAGCTCACAGAGGGAACAGGCTCTGGGCCTGA